CTTGTTGCACACTATTGTATGGGTTCTACAGCCTGACCTGTGGGGACAGGTGAGTAGATGGGGGCAGACAGAGAACTGGGCTAGATCACCCCAGTGATTCCTTTTTCAATACTTTGCTGTTAGCAGTGTTGTGTCAGAATCAATATTTTTTAACCTATGAAAAGCATTTAAATGTACAGTGGCTAGGAGGTCTTATACCAAAGTGCTTTTCCCTGACCTCCAGTAGTAGTGGGTCAAATACTTTAGTCTAGGTATTGCTCAAAAATCATGACTGAATAGTGAGTACCAAGTGTGTGGAACATTTTGCAATAAGCACTGACAACTTAACAATCAAATTCCATTGTAGCAGTTTAAAGTGATGTCTGAGTGATGTAGCTAAATTGACATATTCACATATATAAGCCCAAGTTTTCAAAAGCGGTGAGAGATTTTTGAAACCAGCGTTTGCAGACAAGTTGGTCCTGCAATACAATTTCAATGCTGTATGCACTCTAGAGTGTTTAGTATTTCTCTCTGATGTTTGTTTTTCCATGAACTACACAAGTTCTGAAAATTTGGATAAATATAAAATATGACTACTGTATAACACATTTAGGGCACTCTATACTCATTTAGGGACGCGGGTGGCGCTGTGGGTAAAAGCCTCAGCGCCTAGGGCTTGCCGATCGAAAGGTCGGCGGTTCGAATCCCCGTGGCGGGGTGCGCTCCCGTTGTTCGGTCCCAGCGCCTGCCAACCTAGCAGTTCGAAAGCACTCCCGGGTGCAAGTAGATAAATAGGGACCGCTTACTAGCGGGAAGGTAAACGGCGTTTCCGTGTGTGGCTCTGGCTCGCCAGAGCTGCGATGTCACACTGGCCACGTGACCCGGAAGTGTCTCTAGACAGCGCTGGCCCCCGGCCTCTTGAGTGAGATGGGCGCACAACCCTAGAGTCTGTCAAGACTGGCCCGTACGGGCAGGGGTACCTTTACCTTTATACACATCACTCTGATCATTCATCCACCTGTGAGATGTTGCAAACTGCGGGGAGTTTAGAGTTCATGTAGAGCAAAAGTAATATATACATCCATCAACTATATATCAAATGAGGGATGACTTTAACAGGTTTGTTAAAGCTTTGTTCAGCAGACTTTAGTACTGCAAATAAATGTGAAGATAGCGATCAGTTTCATATTTTTGATGCCTACAAAGTTGCCCCAAGAGAACGAGCTATGCTCGGGGTAGAATCCCAAAATTAAAAAGAAAACTTCACAGGTTCTCAGATCAGAAGCCAAATATTTGTGATCTGTTGCTAAAAACGGCTCAGGGTATTACACTGAAGCCTTGTACCAGGTCAGATTATTTGTCCATCTGGCTCTAACTATCATCAGGTCTCCAGGGTTCTTCCCACATCTTCCCATCACCTTGCTACCTGATCCTGAGGTGCCAGGGACTGAAACAACCTGGGACCTTCTCTATGCAAAACAAGTGTGCTGTCCCACAGAACTATGGTTACCACTGAGGAAGTCCACCAAACACAAGTGACAACTTGCTTCTGAGGAGATATGAATAAGGCTATGCTTTTAATTTCCAGAATTGACAATTTCTAAATGGCAGCTCAGGACTTTTGCTGGTGATTTCTGGGATAAAACGATGCAACACAAGGCTATCTGGCAGCCCAACATTACATGGAAGCAAAACAAACCCCAATCGGATTTGTTTTCAAAGACATTTAGGACCAAAGCATGCTGCATTTTGCAACCTAGTCTCATGTGTGAAGCAGCAAGTGACCCCTACAGCAAGAAATTTAGGCTGGATTAAGACTTAATTTGCAATTGGATTGTTTAGATCTTGCAAGCAGTCAACTGACAACAAGATTTTTGTTTAATCCTTTGGGAAGAAGGGCGAGACATACATTTAATTAATAAATATCCCCAAGAAATGGTAGATCTCTCTCTTTTTTAAAAAGGCAATTTTTCTGCCAACAATGTCATGTGGTCCATGCAAAAAAAACTTGCAAGCATGAGGAGCACTGACCTTGCAGCACCCTAAATTAGTTCCACTGAAATTAATGGGAAGTTACTAGTCACCATGAGTAACTTTTCACACTCATTTCTGTGGGGTCCAAGTGCAACAAAACTTTTTAGTCTGGATCCAACCAGTTGTCGCTAACCATTCTTTCAAGATCAGCCTTTTCCAAGCCCACCGACACAATGCCAAGCCAAACCAGCTTCGGCCCAGAAAACCTCTCCCTTCTCCACCGCTTCCGTTGCACGCCAACCTCCTTGCAGAACAGCCAGTCCCTTCCACCGAACTCCGAAGCACACCTTTGCAGGCAGCGACAAGCCGATCGCTCCCAGCGTCCCGTACTGTTGCCAACGCGTTTTGCTTATAAATGCAGCCTCCCTTTCATTAAGCGAGTGCATTACAATGGGGGCATTACCGCAAATCTGCAGGCAAATTGGCCTCGCGGTGCAAAAGCGCCCTTTGTAAGCAAACGTATTGCATGCGCGGCGGCGTATAATGAAAATAATGGTTTCACAAGCGAGGAGCAAACAACCGGAGGCAGCGAGCGAACCGGAGCTGCAGATGTTGGAACGGGACAGGACCGTGGGAAGCGGACGGTGCCCCTTTCAAAGTGTTTCTGCTTCGCTTTCATGGAGCCGAAGTGTTTCGCCAAAAGGCCCTTCAAGTGGAACGATGGCGTGGCAGCCTGCCAAATCGCCCTCCGAGTAGAACCACTGACTTCAATGGGTCTACTCGGAGTAGGACTTAGTTGGAAAGCACACATGGGATTTTTAATGCATACCAGCCTTTTCCTTACTCTCTCTTTCCTATCCCTTTCCTTCCTCCAGGCGGCTCAGCAAACTGAAATCAACTCTGCACCTTTCCTAGGCTGTGCAAAGCAAACCAGCCGAAGGAGGGAAATAAAACGGGCGGGTTTTTTTCCGTCCTAGCTTCCTCTCTATGCCATCCAAGCAGCACAAGAGATAGGCGTTTAACTACCAGACTTCCTTAAGAAGTCGATGACACAATCAGGACAAATTCCTTGCATAAGCCTCGCGCAGGAAAGCAGCGCCGTCTTTGAAACTGCAAATTACGAGCATGTTCTTACGCGCGCGCACCGCGCTGCCCCCGACCCCGAACTATGCAAGAGGAAATGAAAATGCGAACATCTCAAGCAAAGCGGATTTTTCAAAACAAACCACTGTATATTAAGTTTTCAAACCCAGCAGCAGCCCTGTCTAAAACGTGCTTTTGACCAAACGGGGAATCCCTTCCTAGCTAGCAGCAGCCCAGAACTGCAGCTGGGCTCAGCGTGGGAAGTTACCAAGGGGCGGGGTGCGTGTGCAAGCAGGTTTGCCGTCTGCGACTCGCAGCGCCACCCTGAGCGTGCCTCCTCCGAAGTAAGCCCAGCAGATCGGGCTCTCTCGGTCCCTGGTGGCGCGACACCTCCACGACTCTCGAGGGCAACGGGACCGTCCAGCTCTGGAAACCAAGGGAACCGCTCCAAAGGTCACAACGCAGCCCGGGCAGCCCTTAGCAGGCTTCGCCGCGGCGCCCCTCGCACGTATTCTGGGCTGCATTTGCAAAACGACGCCAAAAAATAAAACAAAATCGCGCCACTTCTAGTTGACAAGACACCCCACCCACGAGCAGCCTGAACCCAACTCAGGGGTTCCGACTGCTCCGCTGCCAAGCGAGCCTCGTCGGGGAAGTCCAACCAGGCGCCCGGCGCCCCCTCCTCCTCCCCGACGCCCAACCCCGGGCGCTCCGACGGGCCCTTACTTCTCATCCACATGCGGGCTGGGCGAGCACTTGATGGCGAGCCAGGTCTTCCAGTGGACGTGGCGGACTTTGTAAACCTGCCCGAAGCCTCCCGAGCCGATCTTCTCCCAGCTGCCGAACTCGCTGGCGTCGAAGGTTTTCAGCAGCCCCATGGGCCACGCCGAGCGGCCCTCCTTCTCCATGCGGCCCCCGGATTCTTCCCCCAGTGTGACAGCCGGACGACTCGCCCCCCCGCGCGAGACACACCTGAACTGCACGGCCTCCCTTCGCGGACTGAGCGCCCTCCCATCTGGCGGCGCCGTCTCCTTTCCCCAGGTGACTCAAGGTGTGCTCATTCGCCAGGCCCCGACGTCACTTCCGGCCTTCGGCAAACTGCGAGGCCAGAACGCGGGGGCGGCGGCAGCAGCAGCAGCAGGGCAGCCTCGGCGGCTGCAAGAGTTGCGCGCTGGGGGTGGAAGGCAGCTTCCCCGCGGAAGGAGAGACGGTTCCGCACCGCCTCGGGAGAAATTTGCACGGCTCCCGCTCTTTAGATGGAAAAGGAGAGTGTGCGAAGGGGTGTAGCGCCCAGTCTCTTGAGAGCCAGTGTGGTGTAGTGGTTAAGAGCGGTAGTCTCCTAATCTGGTGAACTGGGTTCGCGTCTCCGCTCCTCCACATGCAGCTGCTGGGTGACCTTGGGCCAGTCACACTTCCTTGAAGTCTCTCAGCCCCACTCACCTCACAGAGTGTTTGTTGTGGGGGAGGAAGGGAAAGGAGAATGTTAGCCGCTTTGAGACTCCTTAAAGGGAGTGAAAGGCGGGATTTCAAATCCAAACCCTTCTTCTCCTTCTTCTCCTTAGCCTCCAGAAAAGGCTTAAGAATGGCCCCACCCAGGAGTGCCAACTTGAATAAAATATTGGTGGGGGGGCAGGTAAGCCCCGCCCTGCAAAATCGATCACAAGACACAGCACGCGCACATCATTTGAATGGCAATGCTCATCAGCTTTTGGGGAGGATCCCAGCCCCCACAAATATTTTAGGGGGCTGGCCAAAGGGACCTCAGCCCTGCTCTGGCCCCACCTGATAGTCCCTCAAGACCGGCGAATTACTGGCAGATCTGTACTGGACCATCCGCACATCCTTCCGATTTATTAGTGGTTCTGCAATGCGTCCCTAATGTTGGTGTGTTATCGGTGCGCTGTATCAAAACAAAAGTGGAGCCGCCGCTGTCACCACCGGAGCATTCGGAGTACCAAAGGTTACTTGGCAGCTATCAGGCACGCACCTATTGCAAAGGAAGTTTGTTTATTTAATGTCCTAGCTTTCTCCCAGTACAGTACCCCGGGTCGCAACATGCATTAAAAACAGGTGTGGGTTAAAAACACACCAATCAGTTGTATTTTTAAAGAAACAAGTAAATTGCTATATTAAAAACAGCACTGAATCCATGCAATTTAAAATCACTTAAAAGCACAAGAAAATATACAACAACACCCACTATTAAAAGACCCTGCCTGCAAAACAAAAAACCCCTCTTTGCCTGCTGGCAAGAGGAAAGCAGAGACGGAGTCTAGCCTTCTACAGAAGGGAGCTCCACAGTCTGGGAGCAGCTACCTAGAAGGCCCTCTCTTGTGTCCTTACCAAATGTGTCTGCGAGGGTGGCAAAACTGCTGCTATTTAAATAAATGTTTTTACTCTGTGTCCCCCGCCCCATCTCTGCTTTACACAAACTGCTGTTGTTTAAAACCAGCTACTACCCCCCCCCTTTGTGTACTTCCCCTTTCTCACTCCCATGCCATGGTTATGGCTGTTGTGCAACCTGCCTTCTCTTTTGCTCCACTCTGCAAACCCAGGATTGTGGTGAGGCAGTACAAATCTTCCAATGTGGGATGCATAAGGGCAGCCTTCCATTTTTTATGTATATAGGAAGAAAAGGAAAGAATGGATGCACTGTATCACATCACTATTCTTGGCAGCCTTGGTTCATTTTCAGCTAAAATCCACAGTTTCTATTTAGTGCAAGTTAGTAACAGAAGCTATACAGCAAACGGGCAGT